ACGCCGGTGACGATGGAGGCGAAGTTGTCGTCCAGCAGGATCATGTCGGCCGCGTTCTTGGCGGCGTCGGAGCCGGCGATGCCCATGGCCACGCCGATGTCGGCCTTCTTCAGCGCCGGCGAGTCGTTGACGCCGTCGCCCGTCACCGCCACGATGGCGCCCTGGGGCGAAAAACGGGGAAATCGGGAAAAAACGGGGAAAACGGGGAAAAACAAAAAAAATTGGGTGAAAATCGGGCGAAAAATAGGGAAAAAATGGGGAAAATATTGGGGGAGAATGGGGAAAATATTTGGGACATTGGGGACATGGAGAAAAAATGGGGAAATTTGGGGAAATTAGGGAAAAAATGGGAAAAAATCCCAAAATTGGGAAAAATTGGGGAAAAAGAAATTGGGTGAAAAATGGCCAAGAAATGGGAAAAAATGGGGGGGAAATGGGGGACATTTGGGGATATTGGGGACATGGAGAAAAAATGGGGAAATTTGGGGGAAAAAAGGGAAGAAATGGGAAAAAAACCCCAAAATTGGGAAAAATCGGGAAAAATAAAGAAAAAAAATTGGGTGAAAAAGGACAAAAAATGGGGAAAAATGGGGGACTTTGGGGGATTTTTGGGGAGTTTTGGGATTTTTGGGACGCTTGGTGCCATTTGGCATTTTGGGGGATTTTTTGATGACGTCGCCCGTCACCGCCACGATGGCGCCCTGGGGCGAAAAACGGGGAAAACGGGAAAAAACGGGGAAAAACAAAAAAAAATTGGGTGAAAATCGGGCAAAAAATGGGGAAAAAATGGGGAAAAAATGGGGAAAAACGGGGACATTGGGGACATTGGGGACATGGAGAAAAAATGGGGAAATTTGGGGAAATTAGGGAAAAAATGGGAAAAAAATCCCCAAAATTGGGAGAAATTGGGGGAAAAAATTGGGTGAAAAATGGCCAAGAAATGGGAAAAAATGGGGGGGAAATGGGGGGAAAATGTGGGACATTGGGAATATTGGGGAAAAAATGGGGAATTTGAAGAAAAAATAGGGAAAAATGGAGAAAAAAATGGGAAATATGGGAAAAAAAAGGGTGAAAAATGGGAAAAAATGGGGGGAAATGGGGAAATGTTGGGGGAAAATGGGGGACATTTGGGACATTGAGAAAAAATGGGGAATTTGGGGGGAAAAATGGAAAAAAACCCCAAAATTGGGTGGAAATCAGGGAAAAAATGGGAAAAAATGGAGGGAAATGGGGAGGGGGACGGGGCAATTTTTGGGGACATTTGGGGACATTGGGGACATTGAGAAAAAATGGGGAATTTGGGGGAAAAAATGGAAAAAAACCCCAAAATTGGGTGGAAATCAGTGAAAAAATGGAGGGAAATGGGGAGGGGGACGGGGCAATTTTTGGGGACATTTGGGGACATTGGGGACATTGAGAAAAAATGGGGAATTTGGGGGAAAAATGGGAAAAAACGGGGGAAAGCCCAAAAATGGAGGGAATGGGGAGTGAGGACACTGGGGATTATTGGGGACATTTGGGGACATTTGGGGACATTTGGGGCATTTGGGGACATTTGGGGACATTGAGAAAAAATGGGGAATTTGGGGGAAAAATGGGAAAAAACGGGGGAAAAAACCAAAAATTGGGTGGAAATCAGCCCAAAAATGGAGGGAATGGGGAGTGAGGACACTGGGGATAATTGGGCACATTTGGCGACGTTTGGGGACATTTGGGGACATTTGGGGCATTTGGGGACATTTGGGGACATTGAGAAAAAATGGGGAATTTGGGGGAAAAATGGGAAAAAACGGGGGAAAAAACCAAAAATTGGGTGGAAATCAGCCCAAAAATGGAGGGAATGGGGAGTGAGGACACTGGGGATTTTTGGGGACATTTGGGGACATTTGGGGCATTTGGGGACATTTGGGGACATTGAGAAAAAATGGGGAATTTGGGGGAAAAATGGGAAAAAACGGGGGAAAAAACCCAAAAAATTGGGTGGAAATCTGGGAAAAAATGGGGAAAAGATGAGAAAAAATCAAGGGGAATGGGGGTTGGGGACATTGGGGACGTTGGCACCCGGCCAGGTGTGCCCAGGTGTGCCCAG